TCCATCCATCCATCCATCCATCCATCCATCCATCTCTACTTATCAGATTCTTGTCCCATTCTTTCATTTCTTAATCCACGCACCCATCCATTCATCCTTTCCTACCGCCCTCCCTCCATTCCTCCCTCCCTCCCTCCATCCACCCATCCATCCATTCATCCATCCCTCCCTCCATCCATCCATCGATCCTTTCCTACCTCCCTCCCTCCCTCCCTCCCTCCATCTTTCCATTCCATTCATTCATCTATGAATAGCCATTACCTGAGTAGACTGAGAGAACAGTAGCACTTTACTCTTCTCTTTCTCGAACATGCGCAACAGTTTGTCCAGGACTTTCATTTTGCCGCAGTACGAAGGGTCCGAGAGGGTCTGGAATGAGGGTGCAGCCATTGCTTCAGCATACTCAGGATGGAGAGAGAACACCTTGTCACATATGGCTTTGGCCTGGAAAAAGATTTAGCCAAGTCCCATCATTGCTCTTATTCGTTCTTCTACTTACATCTATTTTATTTTAATTTCCCTCATTCCTCTTTCTTTCTTTCTCTTTTTCTTTCTTTTCTGTTTTTCTCTCTGAGTAATTATCTCCGTCTCATTTCAAATTCGTCTGTAATCATTGGCTAATTCATTCATTCATTCATCCATCCATTCATCCCTCCGCCCCTCCCTCCCTCCACCCCTCCCTCTCTCCCTCCCTCCTTCCCTCCCTCCATCCATTCATTTACTTTCTTAATCACCCACTAATATATATTTATTCGTACACTACTTTATGTACTGTCATTAACATACTTTGGTTCTTTGGTCTTCAGTCTGTTTCACTTGCGGCATCAGTAACGCTGTGTGATTGGCTGCTTTCAGCATCAGCTGTAAGTATCTCATGAGTACAGAACGCAATGACTCACCATTTTCATCACTCTACAAAAATTCAAGAGAGACACATTTTTAAAAGGTTGTTGCAGAAGATGAAACCTTTCAAATCATGAATTAGTGGGATATGTAGAAGGCGATGGAGAGGAGGAGGTCAAAATGAGTGTGTGTGTGTGTGTGGGGGGGGGGGGTAGGGATGATGGTTAGGAGAAAGGAGGTCAACTTAAATTTGGCGTCAATTGTATGGGAAAACGACATCCAGCTCCAAAACGAAAAGCAATTCTACAAAGATTTTATGGCTTGTTTTTCATGACTGGATAGCGATATGCAGTACTACAATACAGTACCGTGTAACAGCAATGCCCTCTTGTCAAACCACTTCCACAATCGCACGGGTYGTCTTTCTTGGTAATAAGCTGGACGTCGGGGGATTGAAGAAGAGTGACGTAAACGTCTTCTTGAAATTGGGTCAGGTTGCAAAACACAACTCTCTCGTCTGGTAACAATAAAAATAAAAAAACCTCAATAAAATTGATTTATAAATTGTTTACAAGAGATATTGATAAATTTGCGAGTGACCTCTCGGTAATGTTACGCATGCAGTTACAATAGATTTCGTACGAATTTAAAAAAATTAACGCACACAGCACGGTCACGGTACGGATGGACGACATCCTTTGAACCAATCAGGGCGCACGATTGTTGCTTGTCCAATCAAAAAGTTCGGAAACCGCAAGGCACGGCACGACAGCATCACACCTTTCTCCTAACCACAACAAAAATGTTCTACACTGTTATAGATTTTAAGATAAGCGCCAACAAAGAAATGTGATTGGACAAAATAGTAGTACCTTTCTGTGGTAACTGATCTGATATCAAGTCCTTAGTTCGGCGCAGAAACCACTGACCAAGTTTGGCTTGAAAGTTCCTGGATACTGAATAGAGAGGTTTAAACGAATATCTTTGAGTTAGTAAATGAGATACCGAAAGAGGTAACTTTTTGGTATATTATTTCTAGTGCTGTTTTAGGTTACATCTCTCTGTGGAAAAGGACCAAATCTTTCCACTAATAGCGTGAAGCCAATATTTACCAGTGAATCAATGACTAATTCATATTGTGTATTACTGCTATCAAGAACCCAACTTAAAAGACAAACACTACGTCACGCAACAAAGCGTTACAAAAAGACAGTTCTTCTTATTTCGAGTTGCGTTACGCTTACGTTTCTCCCAAAAAAACCCACCTAAAGTTTACTATATGGTTTAATGACTGATGACGTATGATCGCGATTATCCAATACAAAACGAGGATTACGTGACGTGACGTACTTGTTCTGCCAATTGCTAACTCTCTCTTCGTGACGTCATATCTCTGTCCTTTTTTGATTGGTTTGCTGTACTCTTTGGTGAATTTTCTGGCAGACCCTAAACAGCCAGGGTTGGCCCAGTCAAGCACACTCCAGAATTCGTCAAATCGGTTTTGAAGAGGAGTTCCCGTTAGACCAAACCTATTAAAGCAAAGTATTACGATAAAATTCAATACTGAGCCAGCATTCTTTATTGTCAGCAATTTCATTCCGCGGTTCTGATCAAGAGAAACTTGGGCGTCACGATCATATATTTTATATTTTTAAATTTGTAAATATTAGTAGTTTTATATTGAGGGCCACAAGTTTATCAGTGTAGTACACTATTTAGTGCCACCCTCATTAAATAAAGTTATTATTATTATTATCATTATTATTATTATTATCATTATTATGATACATCTTGATTATGTTCAACGTATGAGCATGCGCAGCAGTTAAAACCTCGTTTCCAGAGCCTGCGATCTTATCGATTAGCACAAGAAAGAACTCTGGCATTTTAACATTCGCATTCAGCCTGTCACAAAAGGACTGGATCGCACTTGGTCAGAGTGATGGGCGCATGCGCATCAACAAAATAATTAGAATATTTGTGATTCCAGATCAGTAAAGGTAATATATGTGGAAATGATTGGATGAAAAAAAATTAAGCACTGACAAAATTAAACGGGGCCATATGCCAAGGGATCAGACTGGATGTCAGTTGATTGGATCTTGGATCGCAAAAAAAAATTCTCGAATTTTTAGCTTTTGAATGGGTAAGGATAATCTTAGTGTATAGAAAAAACATGCCCAAGCAACGATATTTGATTTATGCTTCTAGATTCTGAATTTTGAGAGTGTTTTTGTGCGTGGAAAATCCAGAACCGTGCATGGGTGGAATGGACTGGACTTCGGTTGACTGGATCGTGCGGATCGCAAATATTTTTTTACGCCAAATTTGCAGCTTTTATTCTATAATTTTTATTCTAATACTCATAACTAGTAATCGCATGCTAAAACTTTTCAAAAAATCAAGTGCTTTTTCATTATTAGAAAACATCTTGGATTTAAGTTCTTCTTGTGTGGCCATCCACCAATAGTTTGAGTATATTTAGGGACTGTTCATTAATTATGCCTCATTAATTACACCATTATAGATGCTTGCTCGAAAGGCACCAACCTTCGAATCTCTTCTTCACAACTTTCAAATTTGTCCTCTCTAACTCTACAAAAGGATAGACTTTTCCCATTATCTTGAATAAGTATTATCCAGATAAACTGAGCTCACCTCGCCTTGACCTTCAGTTCCTTGGCTGCCACAGTGATCTGTGCTTCTGGATCTTTGAGTTTGTGAACTTCGTCCATGATAACCGCTGACCAACTCACTTTGTTAAACTTTGTCTGTATAGAAAGATTCACCTTTAGGAATACATTGTATACTAACAGTAGGTGCAAAACTTACATGTATGATGTATAATCATTCGCTCTCTTTTACTTACAAAAATAAGAACATTTCTTACCAGGTTTATTCGAAGCGTATCATAGGTTGTCAAGACAACGTCCAATTTCTTCTTCATCGCCTCTTCCAGAACACCTTCTTTACTGTTGCCATGGTAAACCTTCACCTTAAAGTGACCCCATGTGTCCAGTTCATCACGCCAGTTGTACAAGACAGAGCCTGGGGAGACCACAAGGAAACATCTCTTTACTTCTGTCTTCTCATTGGCATGTTTTTTCCCTTGACTCATATACTTTCCAAACACATCGATTTTTGTCCCTGTTTTACCCATCACTGCTGCCAGGAAAGCAATAACTTGGACAGTCTTCCCCAGACCCATGTCATCTCCAAGAATAGCCCCCTTGTTGTCATGGTAATGGCGGTAGAGGAATCGGACTCCATCACGTTGGTATTCACGAAGACGACAATTGATTGTTGCTGGAACCTAACAAAAAATACTGTTTAATCAAAGCCTCTTCCTAAATGCTGTAATAGAGGTAACAAAGGTGTACAACTTGTTGAGCAACATTTTGTGAGTTGCAAATTCAGTTGCTTAGAAATTGTTGCATTAAGTAGTAGGTCTCTTTACTCTGATATGAAATAAAATATTATATGATTCTGAATGAAGCTTGGTCCTCAGTAGCGCATAAGCATAAGAGTGTAAGTCCTTACTTGGAAATTTAGTGACACAAGCATAAGCACAAGCATAAGAAGAAAGGTACCTTTTGATCTTTATGATTATGTTATGCTTATGTCGCAAATGAGGACCAGGCTTAAAGTAACAGTATACCTCTTAGCGGTGCTGGTGTATGACCAGTGTTTATTACCTGTATAGGTGGCTCTATTCCTGGTTCAGATAACACTAAAGGAACAAAAGGGTAAGGTGCTGGTTCACTAAAACGAGGTTTCTCCATATCCTTGTCATCAAATCCTTTCAGTTAACAAAATAAATTCATCAGCAAGAATATATCAATCATACATGTACCATTGGCATCAAAAACTGTTGACTCTACTCCACCCCCCTCCAAACTAATTTTCCCAGTGTTATACAGCTGCAAATACCATGATATACATGTACATTTGCCTGAGCAGGTAGGGGACCACATGCAGCACACTTACAAAGAAAACCATGCTCACTACATAGAGGGCAACATTTTTCCCTGTTATACATACATGTATATATACAGTATGTCAAATCATCTTACCATCCATGTCACACCATACATCTGTGCAATCATCTTGTCCTGGACTTCCACGTCTCTCCTTTGAAAGGGTTCTTTTTGTATCTTCAATATCCCTCTCTCTATCATTTGTTTTCAAGTCAGTGTCATCTGTGTTCATTGAAGCTTTCTTTCTTTGCTTTTTCTTAAGCACTTTGCCTCCCTTGTGTGTTAAAATATCCAGAACTCCTGTCAATAAAGTAAGACATCATTAATTGAATAAAACAATACAGTCAGTGATGGGTTGAAAATGAAAGTACAGGGCTCAAAAATAGCAGCCTGCAATTGGCCGAATGTCAGGCCAAAGTTTGGCAGGCAAAAAATTATGAGCTGCCAAATAAAATTAATAAAATATATAGATAATAAAAATAATATAAAAATATATATAAAGATAATAAAATTTCAGGCAAAATTTACTGGACATCATCTTTTACTGTTTCTTCATATATGATGATTGTTCTTATTCACAAATGAATCTCATCCAATCAAAATCTTGTCTTTTTCATGTGACACATGCTTAAAATAAGTGACAGGTCAAGATGTGTTTTACCTGTTCAAGATAAAAAAGTGGCAGTCCATATGTTTTTCTATATCGAGCCCTGAAGTATTTGGTTATATCATCATCATCAACATCATATACATTGTATCAACATCATGGATCATCATCATTATCAATCTAACAAATGGCTCATTGATTCCCATTGACTGTCTTCTTATTGATCATAGATGATGTCTTATAAAATATGCAAAACTCAAGTGCAACCAAGAGCTCAGCAAATGGTTTCACTGTACAGTTTTGGACATTTTAAGACCTCATCTATGTTCATGCAAGAGGACAATCAATGGAAATCTATGTGCAATTTTTTTTAGAATAAAATAAAAAAAGCACATCTACAAACAAGGAAAAAGTTTAAAAGAAAAAAAGTTTCAAGCATGCACTGGCTTGTGCCTTACCTTTTCTTTTGTTCTGCTTCACTTCTTGTAATGGTATGTCAAAATCTATATCATCAAAATCTTCATATTTTGTTCTAGAGTGAATCGAAGGATCAAAAACTGAGTTCATGGTCACAGAATAGATCCTCTTATCTACTTCTGTTTCACCCACAATACACTGAAATTAATAGTTCAGTTCAATGACCATTAATAATAGTTTCATGTTGAAGTTGGTGTTTCTGTGCATACATGTAGCAAAACTACAGTTTATCGTGTGTGGCAACTCCAGCCTTGGCTTGGAAGTAATATTTCAAAGCCGACAATAAGGACTGGACGGGATTTCAAGTCTAAGCAATTAGTTCCAGTCCGTGGCGCAGCCGAGGACTGGAACTAACTGCGCGGACTTGAAATCACGTCCAGTCCAATATTGGAGGCTTTGAARTGACTTCCCATCTCATTAATTATTCGACTTAGAGTAACTGGAACAAAATTAATTCAGTCCTAGGACTGAATTAATTTTGTTCCAGTTACTCCAGAGTGAATGCATTCCTTTCACAGCACTTTACCAGGTTTCAAGTAACATCATGTGACCCAAAAATAGCCCATTGATTGGATGGTTTACTCATGAATTATTAATGAGTATAAGAACTATTATTCGTAGTCACTGAAAGCTGCACGGAACTGTAAAATGAAGTATTTCCTCTCCTCCCACCCCCTGCTATCCCTTACAAAATACCATTAGTTTGAGTTTCCTTGTGAAATGCGTCATAAAAGATGTAAATTATTCAACACACCTAATTTCTTCATTCAGTTCAAAACCTTCCAAATGAGTGAAGAAACTCTCTTTTGAAAGTGACTGCATTGCTTCTGTACTGTTGGTGTCTTCGTCTACACTTTTAGTTGGAATTATATTCTGCGGTATTCTCCTTAAGTGTTTAAATGGTACTCGTTCCTTTCCCTCTGATTCAAACCTGTAAATATCATAAGCTTACATGTAGGTTATACAAGTAACAGTTGTTTGTATACAAGAGAACATAACAAGAGAAAACACTTATTAAATTAGATTATTAAATCACCCATGATTGTAAGCTGCACTGCTGCTAATGGCGCCATAATATGCAGCCTGTAAAGTCCTCCACTGGTCATAAATGAAAAGCGCATTGAAAGGTTGTATAAATGCGCTATATAAGAACCTCCCATTATTATTATTCTCCAAAGAAAAAACGACAAGATTTATAACAGTTTTTAATCATGTGAACTCATGGCTGTGAGTTGCTCCCTGAAATTTGTTTTAATTTTCACTACTGTTAATCAAAAATAATCAGTTTGTACCTTCTAAAAAAAAAAAAAATAAAATTTTAAAAAATTAAATTTTTTTTTTTTAAATTGACTTTATTTAACGAGGGTGACATACATTACTGGTGACCCAGTAGTTTCCATTGTGGCCCTCCTACAATTATTAAACTGAAATGAAAGATTAAATGAACATAAAGCGTGTTAAGAATCCCAACTGGCAAGGAGGCAAACCAGTTGGCTATTAACAAGCATGGTCAAGAAACTGAATCTGAACTAATCAGGAATCGGAACAAATACAGTCTCGGCTAGTGGCCACAGCAGGACTCGAACCCGGCACCACCGGATTGCGAGACCGACGCTATGACCACTCGACCATGCTGCCTCCTATATTCTCGACTGGCGGCTGAGTGAAAAAACAAATTCCAACTACTGAGTTTGCATAAGATTGAAAATTTACTGCAGTAATTATGGAGACACAAGGGAAGAGGTGGAAGGTTGGACACATTATTGGAAATGAAATTTGGTCAAATATATCCCTTTTGTATCATACTTTAATACTCATTATTGAACTACATTCAATGAGTTTAAAAAAGTTACAAATGACACCCTGAATATGGCACCAGCCATGTACAGCACATGAAAAACTTGCAGTGCTCATACAATCATATTGACTCAACTTCCTACATGTAAGTATTTTTACTAACCCAATGAAGGTAACTTCAACTTGATCCTCAGACACAACATCATCTATGACAGCTCTGTAGTAAAGGTTATCGCCGTGGTACAGTGCCATGCATTTTACTTCTTTCTGAATCCATTCTGTCAAATATTGATAAAACAAAAACACTGAAACTTTGCCCAATGTTATATACAGTACAGCTCACGGGGATGTTAACATTCCATGCGTGCAAACCGCATGTAGTACACTTAGTGTAGTACACTTAGTGTAGTACACTTAGTGTAGTACACTCCTACGCATAAAAGGTTATGATAAATTGTTGTCGTCGAGCATACCCTTCCCCCCTACATTGGTTTCAGTTTAAATTTGCAAGGACTGCTGCACAGTAAAAAAATAAGGGCTATAGAGAATGTAAGGACTAAGCCACTGCAGTTGCCATTTGAAATAATGCCTGTTCAATATTCTACAATGGAAGATAAAAAAAGATTTGTTTATGTAGTCTTCCTGACCCCCTCCCCCTCCCCTCTTGGCAGTCCCTAAGGCCCCATCCACACTATGCCAGATAAATTTGAATCTGCAACTTTCACACCAAAACCAAAAAAAAAGTTTTCTGTCCACACATGAAAACGGAGAAAATGTTTCGCGTCAACACTAGTCCGATCAGAGGCGGCAAAAATGCTTCATTGCACATCTGAGCATGTGCATCGAAGCTGAAATTGAGCCCRCRGTGAATTTTTAGCCTTCCCGCCATGTTCCCATGACAATCATGACAGCGCTTTCAAATTATTCCACTCTGGAGACCATATTCGAAAAAAATCGTTTTCGGTGAAGAATTATTCCGGATTAGGCCTAACCAAATAAATAAAAATTTGGATTCAAATTTATCCGGCATAGTGTGGACGGGGCCTAAATTGTAAATTGGGTTTTATGCAAAAACTTGAGATTCTCTTTCATCATACCTGGTTTCTTGGGTTTCTTATCATTCTTGACATCTTTACATTCATCTACGTCTGTTTGTCTACAAAGTCATAAAGCAGTAGAAAATTAGTTTCCTGATACAGCAAATGCATTTTTTGAGTTACAGAGCCTTTGAAGTTTGCTTTTGAATGGAACATTCACGGTATTTTTGCATTGCTTTGGTTTTCAAAACATGCACTTTTTGCTACTAGTGGTCTATCACAAATAGAACACTACTAGAATATACTAGCTCCACCAATCAGAGTGCAGGATTTGTGATAAACCATTAGTAAGTTTATATCAAAAAAATATAGACAAATCATATGGATTACGTCATCCGCCAACGCGTCGTCCCAGACATGATCAAATTTGCCCGCAAACTCCAAACGCAAAATTTGCTTTTAACTAAAATTCAAACTAAAAGAAAGTAGAGAAAATTTCAAAAACGCTAAAAAAATTCATCTAAACTCAATAGGAATTAAAAATAAGTGAGACTTTTGAGGAGGAATGTAATATGTTTCTGTGAAAAGGAGCAAGAACCTCAAAAATGCAAGCTTCGTAAATTTACCCAGATTTGATGTTGGGCGATTCTTTGGAACGTTCTTTCTTCCGATCACCACAGATCTCTTGAGAAGGCTCATCTTCTGTCTCATCATCACTCTTGTCGTTCATCTTTCAGCTTTTAACAATACTCTTTGACGACTTACAAAACTCATTGACGACTAAATCCATATCCTATCACTCGACTTTTACTTCAAACTTGATCAAAATCATTCAAAAACCAAGATTTTCATCACGATCAACGCGAATACATCCCTTAAAACGTTATTGGTCATTGTAAAAAGGTTTAGAGCCTCTCGGCTATAACAGTTGCTGTTAAAAAAGACTAAAAATTATTTAAATCGACTGCATAAATCAACCCTTTTCATCGCCATGTTTGTTTTGATCAAACGCTGGACTAGGCTTAGCTCGGTTTCAGTTTTAGCGCGCTAAGTAAATCCAAAACGAGGCTCTCTCATTCCCCCTCCCTTTTTCCATCTGCAAACTGTTGCAATTTATTACCGCTCACTCATTATTGGATTTTTTATTTTTTATTAATTTGCGTCTGCAAATTCTAGGTTGGTTATTGGATCGATTTTTTTTTTTTTTTTTTTGATAATATACTTCTCCTCAAGTTGGTCATAGTTCCATTTCAATTCCCTGTGCATCCATCCTGCAAGACACCTGGTTACGACTACCGCATATGTCTACCCAAAAGGGCTAGCATCTCCCAATCCCCGTCAATCAATCCAATCAATCGTTCGTCGCTAGTTTATGAACGGGGGTCCCACATGAAAAGGAGTGAGTATGCGTTCAAAGCAATCAGCGTCACAAACAAAATTTTGAGTATGCTGGTCATAGCAAGGGGTTAATCATCTATGGACTAGGGGCCGACTAACCTCTCCCTTAGGCTTCGGCCGAGCTTCCTGATCAGTCTGTAAATCTTCGGATAGCGGTGTCGGGGCCGAAAACTCCGGCGCAGCCGTAAATGCTTCGCGCTGCCATACGACGGTTCAGCACTCGATGTCTGGAAGTATGGTCCTTTTAATTAATTAATCATAAAAAGTATAAGCCTAATAAAAAGCATGCACTTTCTAAGTGGAACTCCTTTGCGACCATTAAAATAGCTATCCAGCTTTGATCAGAGCTTGAGAAACTCTGCTTTGAGTTCAATATATTTTATCTATATAATATCATTTATAGTAAAAAAACAAGCGATGGAAAAAAAACTTTTTGCTAGCCTTTACTCTTAAAAATCTAGGAAACGTTCCTCTAATTAAAGTATTATTAGCTATCTATTTATCATTGGAGGAGTTTGCTATTTTATCGAGATATCGAGTTCTCAACAGCTTCCTTTCTTCCTGTTTTTCATACAGACGGTCTGGCTAGAGTTAAGAAAATTATATGGATTCTTCTGCAAACGCCCGTTTTCTGACGTTAATAACACTGACTGCAGGCTTAGAAAACTCACTCTGGTGACTATTCTCCTACGCAGTGTCATCACGCAACGCTTACTCCCATTGTGACAACGCAAATAGCAGTTGCATAGGAGACTATATGGTGACAAGTTTCAACGCATGTTCACTTTGTGCGTCGTGTCTTGAGTTCGCGATCAGGCGTACCTCAAACTACTTTACTGCGTGCATCTTCTCAACCTGTGACCTAGGGTGTCCCTTCACTCTTATACTATCATATTAGGACTACTTAGACTAACTTTATTAAAACAGTTATTTTTACGAAGAACCCGACGTTAAAACCTCGATAATCTCACCGCATTTTGTTTTAACATATTTCTCTAGCACCGCATTACAGATATCACATGACTTGGTATAGGATGCACATGCGCAGCCCCGCATCGGCAGTTTATTATATCCCCAACATTCATTCAGTTCGTTGACTTTGGCCACGGCCTGGGATTTCTCTCGAATGTTCTGTTCCTTCAGTTGACGGATTTCTCTGTTATGCTGTTCTTTGAGCCAGCGGATATTGTTGGTCAGCAAACTCACGAGGTGGTCTGTCTCAATATCCTCGAACTTCGGGTGTGCTGGTGATAATAGTAAAGATAACACAGTATTATGGAAAAAATATGAGTGGAATGAAAAATGAAAGGCAAAACCTGCAGATATTGTTTATGAATTCTAGTAAAACAATTTTATTCCAACTGAGCATTAAAAATGTCGATAAAATTATTTCAGGAGTGAAATAGCTTGGTTTTTGCAAAAAAAAGGCACTGAAATTTTATTGATGGTAAGTGACCATAATTTGAAGTACTAACTATAAAAAATGCCTTCCCCAGGGCAGGGGGAGGGGGGGTTTGACATTCCCCTAGCATAAAAAAGGAATATACCCTCCTTAAGACTTAGGAATTCTACTTGAAATCTTCCAGGCATAGCACTGAGAGTGCTTGCATCTAATCAATGAAACCTGAGTTTGGAGTCTGGACTTTGTGTCAGAGTTACTAGAGTTGCTTGTTGGTTCTCTCCTGTGCTTCAAGAGTTTTTCTTTCGGTTCTCCAGTTTTCCTAGTCTCCTATGCAGCTACTATTAGTGTCCTCATGCAACGCTCACTACTTAGGGGATTGAGCATTGGGTGATGACACTAATAGCAACTGCATAGGAGACTACAGTTTTCCTCTCAGATACCATTGTTTGAATACTCAATCATGATTGGCTAATTTGTATGAAAATTTTCCCGAGTGGCCCTGGTTGGTGTAATCGCACTGGAAATGTTCATTATAAAAGTACAATTCTCAAGGGATTGTCATGTGATCTGGAATGGGCAATTTGTATACAAAGCTAAAAAGGTCTATTTTGACTGGAACTTTAAAATTATGACAAATCACTTACTTTTAAGTTCTTGTAGATGCATTCTGCTGAGTGAGTTCAAGCACTTTTCAAGAAGTTTCTTTAGGGAGAATTCTTGAGCAAGAAGGATTAAATCTACAGAGCTTTGCTTCTGTAACAACCTTTCCTCACAACTTTGTGTTAATTTATGAACTTGATATTCGCGTGCCATCTCTAGAAGACTCTTGATATCATGGTTCTCTGAAATATGTATTCAAATGCATGGTGAAACATCCAATATTTGTAATTTTAACTTTTTATGAAGAAGAAATAACTAAGAAAACAAGCAAGTAAAGAAATGATATATGGATGGATAAATGATTGGATGGGTTGCTGGGTGGATTGAATAGGTGGATGGATATTTTGGTTGATGAGTGGATGGGTGGATGGCTTGGTAGGTGGGTGGGTGGGTAGATGGGTGGATGGATGTCTTATTGGAAAGGAGAGATGAATTGGCTGATGGATGGATGGATTAACAGCCAAGGTATACATGAATGGATGGATGCCTGGTTGGAAAAAGGTCAGTGGGTATATTCGTCAGTGGGTGTATTGGATTGGAAGAATGAATGGATGGAATTTGATTGGATGGATGGATTGACAAAAGTTATAAATGAATAAATGGGTGTATTGGTGGACAGAGGCTCATAGATGAATCAATGAGAGGATTAAAAGGATGGATGAATGGAACTGAGTAGGATGGGAAGGGTGGATTTAATTACACAAAAGATACCAACAATATTATTTACTAACCTGACATCTGTATAGGAAAAGGATAAAGCATGCAAAGAAAATCATAGACCCTGTCAGCCTTTTTTCCTGGTAAAGGAATCTCCTCCATGCTTGACTCTTTGAACTCTGACTGAAACATGGTCTTGAAGACCGGTGAATTCATAGCAAGAATAGCTCGATGAACGTGGAAATGCTCTTCTTCGACCTTCAATACAACATCACTGAAATTCCACGGCTCAGAAAATGATGGTAGTTCATTCAAGGTGAACATTGCTGCAACTGTAGAATGGAAAAATTATTCATCGTGGAATCGTAACAAATGATACTTATCCATTTGTCTCACGATTCGCACAATGACAAGCACTGCTTGGACTGCAAGCTGCTAGTCTTCATCAGCCTCATCGGGCGATGGTGTAGACTGGATGGTGTATTATCATTAGACCTTATTACCAATAATTATTACAACACAGATGATCAGATGATGAGGATATAATAGACAAACTATCCAGGGGGAAGATCTTTAACCCGCAAGCGAATCTACTGCACTTAATACGACACGTACACTGCAGACGGCGAGCTTAGCTCTGATATCACACGATCTGAACTTATAAAACATATTGAACACAAGATTTCGTTTTAAACTTACAGTATTTCGCAAAAATCACGTTCAATTCACGTACGAAAGCCTAGAACTTGGAAACAACTTTGATGAAACTCAAAACTCCCGGGAAATGTGCACCGCCATTATGTTGATAAATATTTGCTCGGTCACGTGATGCCTGTTGACTTTGTTTGGGCTCCCTGTGGAATATTCCACATGTTTATTTGTCACTAAAAATATTAAAGAAATAATAATAATTATAACAAAAATGATAAAATGGAATCGCTGAAAAAAACGGAAAATAAAGTAAAATGATAGGAAAAAAGGTACGAAAAATTAAAACATTGAAATAATACAAATATTTTTATCAAAACAATTGTCATCTCACGGTACCCGATTTAGGGGGGAGGGGTGGTGTTACCCGGTACCTACCACCTCTGAAAGGGAAATCTTAGATTTTGTCCCCAAATATCTCGAAAACTAAAAAGCCAAATCACAGAAATGAATGGACTGTCTGCATGTATGCTAAAATTCATACTTGTGTATAGAAATTGCCACTACAGACCCCCAGTATCGAGCATTTGAAGAGGTCTCTGAGGGGGGAGGGAGTATGTACCGGTACCCACCACCTTAATTCATAAAATCGGGTCCCTATTTTGGACCATTGTTTTGACTTCGCCCCAAGAAAAATGCTATGGAAGAACTGAAAAAAGGGAAAAAATATAAACCATAAGTCGAATTGGTCTTTTTTCTCGGTAAAAGATGCCGACAAAAATGCAAATAATGATTAGATTTCATGGTTAAGTTTAGTTCAATGCAGGTGAAATCAACTGGACTAATACAACGCGGGCGCAAGTACGTTTTCCTAGATATTTTAGTACGATCACGTGGCCTTGTTTTCCAAAAGCAAATCATATGAGAAAGAATTTTGACCTTGGATATGGCGTCCCGTTGTTTCACACAAAACAATTTTAATCTATGTTGATCAAAAGGACAAAATAAAATAACATTGTCTAGAAATACCAAAGTTTCATCTTTTGATCTTTCAAAACAAAGTTAATGAAAAAAACCCTCAAATCCAACACGATTGTAATCCTTAATTCAACTTGAACAAAACATTGTTAAAATATGTCAAACTTGCTTTTAACTTCAATTGCATTGTCCTGCGATACGATGGACTCGTAAAGTTGAATATTAATTTCATCTTTATTTTCTTTTCTTTATGAAAATATTAATTTAATTAGTTGTGAAGGTTGAAGTAGAGAAACTCTACAATTAAGCTAAATAAAACCAAATTTGACACTTGTCTTTGTAAAATAATACGACACTGTTTTAGATCCGTGACTTTATCAGGTCTGTTTACCGTTCTTTTCTGTATGCCTTTTGTGATGAAGTTTTTCCCCTTAAAACATGTGTCAAGAGTCACTCAAAGACATTTAGCGAATATAACCTAGACGGGTCCATTGAGCCTTTGTCTTACTTTATAGCGTTTTAATTGAATCAATGTATATATGGGCAAAAGAATTTATCAAAAGAACAAAAAAATGCTTTATTAACTGGCTACTGACTTAGATTACCTCTTAGAATTTCAAAAAAATGGGCCTTTTAAAAAAATGCCATTTATAAAGTTAATTTATTTTTCTTTTCTTTTCTATTGTATTTGTTTTTCCTTTTTCCTTTTTACACATATATCATTATTTAATTTTTTAAATTCTACATTATAGTTATATACAAATTAATTACGGCTTGCCAAATTTTTTGGCTAAAAGTCAGTTTGTATGTTGTTTTTGTCGATGTAAAAATGTATTAATTTATCGTGAAAAAGAAATTTCTTTGTTAATTAAAAAACCAAAGCGTTATGATAGAAATACTTCACAGACATGAAAACACTTTCTTTTTTGTTAACATATCAGTTTCCACTCACAAGTTTTAAAGGAATGGTTTCCCCCGATTGTTATTGTAACTGCCTCAAACTTTCTTTTCTCTAAAATAGTCAACATTTGACCTTATGCAATTAGAAACAGCTCAAATTCAAAACCTGTGGGCCTAATTCCATGATGAAAACGCATCTCAAAATCGAAAAACAATGGCGCCTTTTAAAGTCTATTGTTCTAAGGAACCGCCATTGTTGTTGCAAGTACCCGGGCAAGCTCAGGTGGCCGGTATGGTTTTCGGGAAATCGAGATAATCAGCACTGGAAAGACTGACATCCTACTTTGCTATCAGCTGGGAGTTCTCCCATGAAAAAGAGGAAAAATCACCAACATTTGTACTTTTTGAAGAGATTCTCCAAAGGACAGCTTTTTCGATCGCATAAACAATATCTCTCTGACTTTGTTGTTTTGAAAGCCCTTTTTTGATGTCAGCAAAGCAATCTCCGGTTCGGTTGGTATATTTAAACATCCAAGTTGTTTGGGCTTTTATTGAGAAATAAATAGAACTATTTCTCAGGTGAGGACAATAGCTTTTAAAAGGTGTTGGGGTATAGTTATATCGGTGAATTTGAAAGTCGTCAGGCAGAGGGACACAAAGAAAGACACTCTATCAAGATTTTGTCTTTTATTTAACAAGACTGAAGGTCTCGTTCGCTAATCACGAAGGAAGACGGAAAGACTCGCTAAGAAAAGAACATGGCATCAAAATTCTACGAGAAAGAAAGAAAAAGATAAATTCTTATAAGTAATCTTTACTAAAATTCGGAATACCCAAATGCGTAGCGTTAATAGAAAAGCTATATTAGTAGTTGTACAATCCTAGCATTCCAAAGCTTTTTTTTTCTTCCAATTTTGTCTATCGTGCTTGAAGACACCAATCAACCTGACCGAAATCTTAAATGATTCGGCTTTTTACGTCTTGTGCGAAGAAAATGATGAGTGTATATGTTATCAGACTACCCACTTTTATATCTTTGATTTAGCCTGGTGTACTGTTGGCCTATTTTCACCGTCGTGGCTATTCTTTGCCATATCAAGCGTATCTTCAGTACGCCGTACAGTTCTCATGATCCAAGTCAGGGCAAGGCCAACTTACAGATCGAATTAAAACTACRCGTTAACTTGTGAATCAAATCATCCTACCAAACAACCTTTTATCGAACCCTGAACACCTTTATGCAGCTTGATCTAGTTCAGGATACAAGAGGATACGGCAGCCTCAACATCGATTTATTTATAAAGTTCTTAGCGCCACTGAGGAAACAAAATTGAAAGTGAGGGCAAAGAAGGAAAGTCTGGAAATTCGATAAAGTAAGGTAGTTTTTTAAACGCTTCGCGCTCGCCAGCAAGGAGTAAACTCAGCGAGCATCTCCTCAGCTGATACAGTAACTTGTGATTTAGCGCAAATCTTTAAAAGTAAAAAGTAATAGGCTATCCTAAGTTTATAATATGTTTATGGAATCAAGGTTGGGGTAGTACACAAACCTCGCACCTCTGAGGTCGCAGGGTTTGATTCCTATTGGGTCTCTCCCTTCATTGAGGTTTTTCTCTGTGTTCACCGATGGGCTCCTCCCTCGCTGCCTAAGAAAATAGAGTTCGATTGAAAAAGGGGCCCATATTTGTTAGCCACTGGCTATTAAGTGTTACCCTTGTATAAAACACTGAAGGACGAGCTATCATAAGCTATGTTATGTTAAAAGAATAAAAAATAAAATAAGCATTAAAACTATAAATAAGATTAAAGAGGGCATTTTAGAGTTAAGAAAAACAACCTTAAATCGTAATATGTGGTTAAAATAACAATTTATAGAGTCCTTTAATTAATATAATATTTGTGGTAACGCGATATTCAAATTCAACACGACATCAATTCAATATTCATGAAGTATTTTGGAAAAAATGCATAGCAAAGTGTGGAATCCGGCAGATTTGCAAATAAAGAAATTTGTTATAGCCTTACCGGACCTTAGTTAAGCCCTGGTATATTAACCTATAGTTGAACAAACCAATTCGTTTATCTTAGCAACTGTGCTTATCCAAATTATGGCAACGCCCTAATAAATTTCTATTTCACTATAACACTGATTTTTGGGAGAAACGCCACACGACTTACTTACAGTACATCTAGCCTGGTCGGCTAAGTCTAGTCAGTGTAGTCAATACAAAGCTATTGCTAATCAATTCCAGTATATATAAGCTAGATATAAAAAAACGCAATTATGTTCTTTATTTTAGTCTAGTTTCCTCGTCATCTAGAGAGAATCAAGGATTGCCTGTAGTGACACTCGCTCGCCTCTCACTTCTTCAGTGGGGTTTCGGGTTTGATTCCTGGACTCGGCATCACATTTGAGCAAAGTTTTTTGGGTCTTTCCTTTGATTCGAAGTCTTTTCTCCCGGTTCATTCTTCGATCTTCGATTTTTACTTTCCGCAAAACCGAATCTGCTGAATACTTCCCATAGCCAACGCACCCTGACTTTGATCAGCCCAGACCGCGTTGTTTCAGCTAGGGTTCGATCTGTGAGCTAGCCGTACTCTGACTTAGATCAGACCAGAGGGTGTTTCATGGTTCTATTTGTGAGTTAGCTGTGCCCTGACTTAAATCAGCCCTGGGGTTTTTTTCATGGTTCTATCTGTGAGTTATCCATGTCCTGACTTAAATCAGCCCAGAGGTTTTTTCATGGTTCTACCTGTGAGTTAGCCATGCCCTGACTTAAATCAGCCCAGAGGGTGTTTTATGGTTCTATCTGTGAATAATGAGCCGTGCCCTAACAGTCAGTGTATACGTAGTGTAAATCGAGGTAACCACTTAAAGTACTTAACGACAAAATATAACAATAAAATAGATCCCTAGAGTTGAACTAAATGGATCAAAAATAAAAGCATCTTTTGTCTAAACATATCAAGGTTTCTGTATCGATCATGTACAGAGATTGATCGGCAAAGCCAATTCTGGGCTGATTCCAAGGTCAGTTCTGACCGGCTAAGTTCAAAGTAGAATAGTCCAAGGGTCTATTCTCAATAACTTTCGAGACCTGAAATTCAAAAATACATTTGTAGAAATATATTTATGATCCAAATTGTCGTTCGTGTTCACTTTGATTGTTAATTCATCTTAGTCTTTTCCGTGACCTTTGAATGCCAAAAAACTCTCGTTGATTTAAAAATAAGTTGGTCGCAAAAACACAGCTAAAGAACACGAAAAAATAAGTAAAAATGGAACAAATATATGAAATTTTTTTCCCTATTCTGTTAATCAGAATAACAAATCAGTAGATTCTAGATAAAAAGCTCAAAA